GGGGACATCAAGGGCTACGTATTAAAGAAGTTTCCGACTTCTAGGCCACAGCTTTGGCAATTTGTGCAGGAGGAATGAGGCCATATTCCCCTCAAGCGTTGCTAAGACTTGGTGGACTCCTTGCCACCCAGGTATGAGGCTATGATAGCTTCTAAAGGCTATTTAACAAAATATTAGATCATAGTCAATTAGAATTTAAGAAGAAATAGGTTTCTTATACGATATTTTTAAATTTATGAAGAATTTTAGTTTTCCACTGCTATTTCAATGATCGGCATAATATAGACCTTTTTTGTTGTTATTAGCTATATCTTCTATAAGGTTTATGTTACCTAAATTAAATGATTGTGGTATTGTTAATAATTAAATACACTAAGCCTTTATGAAAAAAAATTTATGAAAATAGTGTTTGTAATAGTATTTTCCAATCTTAAACGTGCAGGTCGTGGGGCACTGCTATTTCCGTGAACACAGCTGTAAAAGGAAGCTCTTCACGTCATTTGCTTTTCGCCAAAAAATCAAGTCAGCTTCTTGAGCAATAAGAAACGAGAAAACGAAACATTCCAATAGCAAACATTTTTCGAAAACCGGAGCAGCTAAAAATGAAATCGTACGATTTCGCCCAAAACGAAAACGAAAAAATTTTACGATTACCGGAGCAGGCCTGATTATCTTTGTCATAAATAGCATAACAAAATTGACCATTTTTGAATAAATCCTTCAGAATATTCTCGCTCACGTTTGTATTGTCTTCCGATAAGGTTACACTGTGTTTGATTTGGAAACGGACGGCACATTAAGAGCCTATTTACACCAGGCTGCGTTATTGCGTTAACTCAGTAAACGTAGTTTTTTTTACTAGTAGTTTTAAGTGGTGGGAAAAAGTTGCGTCAAAGTTGCATTCATATCGATAACAACAGATTTGTTCGATTTTCGTATCGATTACAACAAATTTGTTAGATTTCTACTCGATATTCGGACTATCGAACAAGTTCCACCACCAAATCGAAAAAAAAACCAAGCAGCTGACGATTGATAATTCAAATAATTCAATCTGATTTCAAAAATGGCCTGAGACTGGGCATCGAAAGAATTGTCGGGACCAATTAGAAGAACTGGTAGAAAAGGAAAAAACGGACTCTGCTTCATCAGGAAAAACGAAACAAACTTAAAACAAACAATTAAAATAATAATTTATAAATTTAAAATGTATATGCAAATTATTTATTGGAAATGTACGCCCAACGCTTCCCTAATGCGTTTAGCATTTTCGCTTGCATTTCCTATACAAGTTTCTTGATCGGGTTGTCCATCCCTTATGGGGGGGAGTAAGGTTAATTCGGTGCAAAAAATACCACTTTTATTGTGGCGGAACGGCTAAAGTTAGCTTAATGAATTAAACACCATATAATAACACAACATTTGAATAAGTTTGGATACATTTTGTATTGAAAAATATTTAGAGGTAGAGAAGTTATAGGGAATCTCCCGAGTCGCCTCCAAAAAAAAGTTGTTTTGCGGTGTACATCCTAACAGTCCACAGGGTCATCCGATCTAAAAAAATTATACCTCATTCGTTAAAGGATAAGTGTCCCGAGGTATTCAGGAAGCGTTTTTTTTTTTTAGTTTTTTTGTGATTTTTTAGGAAATTTGAAATTCAAAAACCCGATTTTTTACTAAAAAAAAAACGTTATTTCTAAATTTAAAAATATATAAAAATTAAAAATTAAAAAAAAAGCCTACGTGAATACCTGAGGAATTAGTTAAAGAATGTGTGTGCCAAATTTCAGGAGAGCAAAATTCAGGAGAGCGCTTTAAACTTTGTGATTCTCATGCATTTAACACCAACCGACCTTCGTTCAACTCCGCATAACTTCGTCAATTTTCCCATGATCGATGTAAAACTTGGACACGATATTCTTAAGATATTAGGCCTTAAAAATAAAAAATACAAAAAAAAAAAACAAGAAAGGAAGCTAACTTCGGCACACCGAAGTTTGTATACCCTTGCAGATTGGTTTTGATATTTATATTATAAATTATAATGCTGAAAACACACACAAAACAGAGTTTCATTACATTTTGCCTATACTTATTATGTTTACAGTTTGACAGTTACAGTTTTACATTCCCAGCTTTACATTTTTTCTACATTTACCGATCTTTTATATGGCAGCTATATGATATAGTTGTCCGATTTTCATAAAATTTTTACCAAAATTCTGAAATAATAAAAGAAGCTTATATATTTAAGTAGATAAGAATATGTTGAAAAACAACGAAGTTATAATTTTTCTTTATTCATTTGCCGATCGTTCCTATGGCAGCTATAAGATATAGTCGCCCGATTTTCATAAAATTTTTACCAAAATTCTGGAATAATATAAAATGGCTATGTCTCAAAAATGATGCAAAAATGTTGAAAAACAGCCAAGTTATAATGTTTTTTCTAAAAATTTATCGAACATTTGTATGGGAGCTATATGATATAGTCGTCCGATCCGGCCCGTTCCGACATATATAGCAGTGAGAGTATATAGAAGACTATATGCAAAGTTTCATTCAGATAGCTTTAAAACTGAGGGACTAGTTTGCGTAGAAACGGACAGACGGACGGACGGACAGACGGACAGACGGACATGGCTAGATCGACTCGGCTGTTGATGCTGATCAAGAATATATATACTTTATAGGGTCGGAAACGTCTCCTTCACTGCGTGGCAAACTTCTGACTGAAATTATAATACCCTGCAAGGGTATAATTACGAAAAAAAAATTAAATACCCCCCTTATTGCACACTTTTGATCTGGATACGGCAAGGAACCTCGCTATAGTGGGGTATTCCGCAGAGGATCCTAAGGTGTTCAGGGCAATCCCTGAATTTTGAAGCTCCTCAAAGGTTGCTGAAGACGTCCCAGTTAACGTCGTTGTTCATTTTCGTAATTTTTTTTGTTTCAAATAATTTCAAACAAGCTGTCAAAAACTAACGCAACTAGCGTCTTGCGTTATTGCGTTAATTTCGATTTCGATATGTAACTCAGGTCGGTGTAAATATACTATTAAATACTAAATGAAGATCCGCCCGCATACCGGCCCCTCTGTATGCTAAACACATTGGGGAAGATATTTAAGCGCATCATATACAGAAAACTAGAGAGAGAAATCGAAGAACCCAGACCACTATAGGGCCACCAGTATGGAATCCGGAATCCTGTACGAAATGCGATCGAAGGCAGAAGATAGCAAGGCGGCTCCAAGCAATACTGCCTTGTATGCACCCTCAATGTTATAAATGCCTTCCATACCTCATTCAGATGACAGCCGACTATTTTAAGGGCCGCGTCCAACTTTACAAATCTACAAATCAATTCTGTGAAACTACGGGATTGCTAGGCCTTCCAATACTGGCTGGCTGTGGGGTTCGCTGACGACATCGCAATTATCACGGTGAAAAAAAAGCACCTGGCAGACGTTTCTACGAAATGCAGGGTAGCGGAAGCAGTGCTTATGAGCAGCAGAAAGGCCGTAGAGAAGATAAACTTCCGGGTCGGTACTATTACCATCGAGTCCACGGTCTCAGAAGAAGCGATAGGCCTTGGGCCTTGGACTTACAGACTCATTCCCTACTTGATCCCCTGGATCCGCCGACCGCCAATGCAGTTTGACTTTCACACAGATCATCACAGGCCATGGATGGTTCAAGGCGTAACTGCACAGGTTCAAGCATGAGGCAAGAGCTGCGTTGGAATCAGTAACGAACTGTCACCTTTACACCCGACAACCTAATTGGTAGCATATTAGATACCCCATACAAATGGGCTGCTGTTGCCGATCTGATGCATTTAAAAGTTCTCTAAAGCCTTAACAGAAGGGAAATCAGTGGAGACGGCACTACATTAGAGAGAGCCTTCACAAAAAAGAACACAGAGTGTTTTTGGACATATCTGCAGCATTCAGAAACGTAAATAATGAAACGGCTAAGAGCGACCAACACTCACCCCGCCATCAACATCAAGATAAGAAACCTTCGAGGTTGTAGGAGCGCAAAGAGGCACACCGCAAGGTGGGGTCCTATCGCCCCTCCTATGAAATCTGGTGGTAGACGACCTAATTAAGAGATTCGAGAAGAAAGCACCAAAGATAAAAGCTTATGCGAATGACATAAGCATAATTATCACTCATGGAAACAACGCTCAGGGAGATATGTGATTGGGCAGAGAAGGAAGGACTCAATATCAATGCGTATAAGACGGACCTCATTCTCTTCACCAAGAGATACAAGGTGCCGCAATGGATACCCTCAATAATTAACACAGCCAGGCCTTGAAAACACAATTCGAATACCAATGTACTAGAGAGTGCGAGAATATGTAAATATGTAAATATGTAAATATGTAAATATGTAAATATGTAAATATGTAAATATGTAAATATGTAAATATGTAAATATGTAAATATGTAAATATGTAAATATGTAAATATGTAAATATGTAAATATGTAAATATGTAAATATGTAAATATGTAAATATGTAAATATGTAAATATGTAAATATGTAAATATGTAAATATGTAAATATGTAAATATGTAAATATGTAAATATGTAAATATGTAAATATGTAAATATGTAAATATGTAAATATGTAAATATGTAAATATGTAAATATGTAAATATGTAAATATGTAAATATGTAAATATGTAAATATGTAAATATGTAAATATGTAAATATGTAAATATGTAAATATGTAAATATGTAAATATGTAAATATGTAAATATGTAGACCACAGAAGCTAATGCTAATAAATAATTTTTTTATTTTGTTGCTAGCTTTTATGTTATGATTATATGTTCCGCAGACAATGTCTCATTTATGAATTAAAGAGTGTGGAAGCGGACACGGGTATGTGGAACAATTATAATTGTGAAAGAAAGCAGATAATTGAAGATATTGGTCAAAACCTAAATAAATGAAATTATTGAATAGGCGCAGAACTTACTTCCTTTAAGGTATCCGAAATAGTAGACGCGGGAATGTGGCTTAAGTTTAAGCTTAAATCATCGCATGAGATAAGTGATCCTTTGGTTGAATTGATGTACACCATATTGTCAGATCCAGCCGAATTATTTAAAATGGATTTTTCACGTAACTCCTCACCTTCAGAATCTCTATCTTCTGGATCCAGTTTTAGCATAAGTTTCTTAAACTATGTGCAAATATAAAAAAAATTAAATAATATAATTCAATATAATATAATAAATATAATGTAATAATAAAAGCAAGTTAACTTTGGCACACCGAAGTTTGTATACTCTTGCAGTTTGCAATTGGATCATAAAAATCCTTCCATTTAAGGGGGGACATCTGAGTAACTGGCAAAAAAAAAACCCATTTTCTAGAATTTTTGTTGGCCAAATGAAAAGGCCAATCGAAAAATTTTAAAAAAAGGTTTTATAATGTTACATGTGAAGTACAAAATATATTTTTTTGGAATAAATCGAAAACAAAATGGCGGCTGTGCAGCATTTCTTCGTAGGCCCCTTTTTTTTAAAGGGGGTCCATGGCCGAAAACCTAACGTCCTTAATTTTTTATTTAAACCAAAAAATCAAATTTTGTTAGTTTCTATAACTCAACCGCTATCGACACACGTAGGATTTTTTCGATATTTTAATTTTTTGCAAAATGGTGAGTGATTAAATAAATGTTCAATTTTCATGAAAAAAAAAAACGTCACAAAATTGTTGATAAAAAACAGTAAGCAAAAAAAAAAAATCCTACGTGTGTCGATCGGTTAAGATTTGTTCAAGTTATGTTTTCGACCAACTCAAAAAAAGTGGTTTTGAGAAAAACGCGTTTAAAGTTTTAAAATCGTATATGATTACATGTGAGGCATCTCCGCAGAATGGAAAATTTCGACACTTAGAAACTTTTGATATGTTATTTTTACGACCCTAAAGCAAAAAAAAAAAAATTTTTCGATTTTTAAAAAAAGTTACTCAGATGTCGCCCCTTAAATTTGTTGAAAAAAAACCAAGTAAAATAAATTTTCTTCACTACAGGTCGTACCTAAGACAATTATGTGATAACGTTACCTTATTTTGAAATAATAAAATATATCTAGATTGACTCGGCTGTTGGTGCTGATCAAGAATATATATATATTATATATATATATATATATTATATATATATATATAAATATATTTTAAATTATTAAATTTTCATTAAATTATTAATATATATAATTTTTTAATGTATATACTTTTTATATATATGTATACATATATGTATATATTAAAAATTAAATGAAAATTTAATAAATTTAAATTTATATAAATATAATTGGTAAATGGTATAATAAAAAATATTAATTATTTGTTAATACATACATCAAGGTATTTTACAACCAGGTCCAATTTTTCTTCGGAGCATAGAGATCTAGAAGAGTAATTGAGTTCTGGGCTTAACACCTGTTGCGCCATTTGTTTTTTAATGACATCAATAGTTGTCTTTGGATTAAAGTCAGTAACACATCTACGCGTAACTGCTTTTTCATAGATCTTTTGTTCAGATGGAGAATATCTTGAAATCTTACTATCGGTAATTCCATACATATTCTTTAAATGATCTTTAAGTATTAGTAGAAGCATACAAGCTTGAGCAGATGTAATACATTTTTTTACTTCGCTCATATCGTCAGGTAAGCGATTAAACAAAACTTGTGGATCTTCCACGTCATCGTCATCATCTAAAACATCTCCTTCTTTTTCACTTGGTTTTAGGTGTTCTTTAAAGGTCGCAAGCAAATGGGTCCCTGCCATTGATATGAGTAGATCTATTTGATGTATCAGATATAGAGGCTCATCTTGAACTACATATGGGAAGTAAGCCAGATTATCGGCAATATATAACATTTGCTGTAGTGATGTTTTTTGATCATCAAATTGTTTTGTAACAGTTTGCACCAATGCACGTCTTTGTGGCTTGGTAGTACGCAATAGAGTATAAAGGAAATCGTTTAAAGACGTCGTTACCTGATCTGATCCGCGTTTTCTTCAAAGAAAAAAACAAAAATTAGATTATATTTAATAATACTAGTCGTAACTTACGTATAACCTCGAATAATCTCGAGCTTTCCTTGGCTGTTAATTTGGAGAACTTTTTGTAACTTGAAGCAAAGTTGCAACCCAAATTGCACTTTCATATTTACAAAACCAGAATAAGTTTTGTCGATATCTTTTAAAAGGGCATCAGCTCTGTGTGCGGACTAAGAAAATACAACCGTTTTAGATTTCCATTTCTTCAAAAAAGAAGGAATATAACAAACCTCTAGTTTAGGATCAGTGCTTAGGCATATTAAATATGGAACCATTCTAACAGGATGAACTAATCCTTGACGAAGAACAATCTGTATTACTTTAACAGCCCATAAACGTACTGAGTCATCCTGATTCAAAAAACATTCCAGAACTTCTTCCAAATAAAGTTGAATAATTCGACTTGCCATTCCAGATGAAACATCGTTCATTTCCTTGAGATCCTCGTGCTTTGATAGCTTTTCCCCTGAAAATTAACGTTGTATTATAGATAAAAATATACGAGATACTAATTTTGGGCCGATAACAAAATGCTGGATTAATTGCTGCATTGTAATTGAAAAGTATATTAGTCAGTTCATTAAAGGTCGAAACACTTAAGGGGGTCTTCTCATTCAAAAGCCGTTTTTTGGACCCTTTTTAAAAAAATTCTTATTTGAAAACGCAAAGAATAATTGAAAACTTTTTTTATTTATTGTATTCAAAAATGTTCAAAGTAACTAAAAAAGTTGTTCTTGCCTCGATACGAGGGTTGTTCAAAGAGTAATGAGACTGCAAACTTGGTGGTCGAAAAAAAGGTGTCGTCCTGGCGGCCACGATTCAGGGTCTCCAGAGCGTCCGAAATGAAAAATAAAAACGGGGTTATAATCAGAATAGATGTCATTTTCGGCTGACGGAACAGATTTTTTTTAAATTTTTAAAACAAAATGGCGGCCATTCAAAAAAAAAAATTCGATTTCGGGCTTTTTTTTTGTAGTTTAGTGTAAAAAAAAATAGAAAAAATTTTGTTTTTTAAATCTGTTCCGTCAGCCGAAAATGGTGACAATTCAGCGTCGATTCCACTTTGTTTCATGAAAATCGGTTCAGTTGAACTGGAGATATCATGGCCGCCAGTTCGAAAAACGTGGTTTCGAGATAAACGCGTTTGAAGTTTGAAAAAAGCTCATTTTGCATAGATCTTGCTTCACAAAAAAGGCTGTATCTTCTAAAGTATTTCGAATTTCTAAAAATCCTTTTGGGGACATATACACACCATCCCAAGCTATAAATAAATGCAAAAAAAAAAATTGAAAAAAAAGTTGCCCCCTTAAGGGGGTCTTCTCATTTCATTTTGGACCCTTTTTAAAAAAATTCTTATTTGAAAACGCAAAGAATAATTGAAAACTTTTTTTATTTATTGTATTCAAAAATGTGCAAAGTAAATAAAAAAAATTGTGTTTTTCCTCGATACGAGGGTTGTTCAAAGAGTAATGAGACTTTAAACTTGGTGGTGAAAAAAAAAGGTGTCGTCCTGGCGGCCACGATTCAGGGTCTCCAGAGCGTCCGAAATGAAAAATAATCAGAATAGACGTCATTTTCGGGTGACGGAACAGATTTTTTTAATTTTTTTAAACAAAATGGCGGCCATTCAAAAAAAAATTTCGATTTCGGGCTTTTTTTTTTTGTAGTTTAGTGTAAAAAAAAAATAGAAAAAAAGTTTAAAAAAAATCTGTTCCGTCACCCGAGAATGGTGACAATTCTGCGTCGATTCCACTTTGTTTCATGAAAATCGGTTCAGTTGAACTGGAGATATCATGGCCGCCAGTTCGGAAAACGTGGTTTCGAGATAAACGCGTTTGAAGTTTGAAAAAAGCCCATTTTGCGAAGAACTTGCTTCACAAAAAAGGTTGTATCTTCTAAAGTATTTCGAATTTCTAAAAATCCTTTTGGGGACATATACACAACATCCCAAGCTATAAATAAATGCAAAAAAAAAAAAATCAAAAAAAAAGTTGCCCAATGAGAAGACCCCCTTAATGGTCTTGCAATAAAAAATGAAATTAAAAAAATATTGCAAAAATATAATATGTTTATGGTGGCGAGGTTTTGCGTTGCAACGTTAATTTAAATTAATTTTTGTGGTAATTATTATAATATATTTACTTTTTTATTCTTAATATTTTTCGATCAATGTGACCGTAGTCGTATTACAAATTTTTTTTGTAATAAAATGTATTTGTTTCTTTAAAGTTCTGATAAAGTGGCTAATTAATGAAAACTGCATTACATTACGGGAAAGCTAAAATCTGTTCATTGTAAGGTGTTTTTTGTATTGCAAAATTCTTAATGAAAATATCAAAATATTTATAATTTTTTATTATCGCCTTATATTTGCTTTCATTTTTTGAGTGTATTGCTATAAAATAACCACTTGAATGATTGTCTTTAAACAAAGTAATCATAATCATTTTATGTATTTTACACACGTTTCCAAGTGAAAGCTATTTTAACTTTAATTAGTCCCCGACCTGCAGCACAACATGTCACCAATAGGCCACTATCATCAATGCAATTCCACTGTCAGTACAAGAAAATTGAAAACATTGGACTTATATTCAAAACAGTGAAATTATATTGAAGACATTAAAATTATATTTAAAAAAGAAAGCCGAAATTACATGAATACATTGAATTAATTGTTTTAAGAGAGAAAAACCTAAAAGTTAAAACTAAAACTAACGAGCTAATGTATTCAGTAATAAAAATAATTGGAGCAATAAAAAAATTGTTAGACCTATTGTTTGACTAACATGTCATTTCATCAGTAATTTGTAGGGACTGTCATCGATGATTCATCAACAACACCAACCCGTATGTTAATAAATTACTGAGGACAGGAACTGAAGGGCATCTATATTAAATATACTTACATTCTTTTTCTTTATTGTGCATAAACATTTCAGATTCAGTTAAATATATCCAAATATTACGCATGCAAATTATTTTGAACCCGGAATCGTTTGCTGATGACCTTAATATATCGCAATAAAAATTTTTAAGCTCCATTCTAGTAAGATATTCGTCGTTTAAAACGCAAAATGAGCCAAGAGAGATCAGCGCTTGCTTTCGAATTTCTAGATTTGCACACCTACAGAAAAACATTAAGCACTCAAATACATCATCACATATAGACGCAGGAAGTCCACCATGCTTGTCACCTAAGAATATTAAAATCAAATTATTGCTGTATACCTCATTAGTCTTACTTACCTAAGCCACTGGGAGATTTAAAGTCGAAATAGCGCATTAAAATTCCAATCGTAAATAGGCTTCGTCGGAAGCTGGGAGTGTAAATATTATCTACACTGTAGTTTTTTTGAAGTACTTGACTTCGGGAAACATCAAGTACTCGATAAAACCTTAAAGAAATATACAGATCATAATTAAAAATATTGTAAACTAGAAGACCCGGCCACGCCTTGCTGTGGCTAACAAATGAGTATATTACAAAGTTATAGTAAATAGCATGTGACTCTTAAACTTATGAATAAGGTAGATAAGGAAAATAGTCTTAAATCTTTTACAGTAATATTTATTATTTTAAATTGTAAGTACTTTAAATTTCTATTTGATTTAGCACTAATCGGTGCACAATATTTTTGGATAACTTGTCTTTAGCTAACACAAATATAACACACCTTGAGACTTATTTATAGACACGGCAAAAGATAAACGAATTGAAACTGTAGCCTTTTTTAAAGGGTATGGTAGATTCTGACGGTATCATTGGAATACGTGGCAACAGGACCACTGTTTCTTTAAACTTCCCAGCTAAAATGGTTGATTCAAGTAATTTTCCGGTGATCTTTTTGATGACTAAACGCGTACCGTTGCATAGTTGAGGGGGATTATGGGTTATCGAAGATTATGTGGTGGCATTCCCAGTATATCTAGTGAATTTAAAAATTCAGCTGGAAAATTTACACTTTCATTTTCATCAACAACAGAAAAGATTGACTGTGGTGTCTGAAAGTTAATTTCGTCAACATCAACATTATTGGCTGCCAAAATCGCACGATGACTTAGCCAGTTATTATTCAAATAATTATTCTGTATGTCCGGAAAATTACTCTGAATCAATTAATTTATATCCTGAATAACAGTGCAAAAATTGTCTGGCAGTTTAATGCATTGCGTTTAGTCTCTCAGCATGTTCACCTAAAGGTACTTTGTCGTTTTGCAATGGTGGCAAAACTCTTTTAATCAATCGAACTAGTTAACATCACAATTGCTCTTTCCTCTGCTGAATCTTCAATGAAATTATACTAGCACCCAGCCGTCACGCGCTCTTCACAATTCCCCATACAATAAATTTGACAAATTTCGGATTATCATCAGGCATTGGCATTTTCATGCTTTTTGGAGAAAAAATTCATCCCTGTCTTTAAATTTGAAATGTAAAACCCTTTTGACAGTTATTTTTATTATGTGGAATAAGTACGAAAACTAAAAATAAAGTGAGTTTTTTCATTAAGTTTATTAAACTAATTTTATATGACTTGAAACAAACTTCATACGCATGTACTTATTATTTCAGCCAAAGGCAAAAACCCCTCTAGCTTTACACGCAATTATACCGATGTGATTGGTGAAGCTCAAGTTGTGGGTAAATAGAACTCCAAGATCCGTTACAGAATGGATACGTTCAAGAACATTCGTCCCTATGGAATAGTTGGCATGGAAACAATTTCTGCGGTGCTGACGTACTGTGATGGGGACATTATTGAGGTACATTGGTGCTGAAGCTGAAGAGTAATTAGAAATTCGAATAATTTGGGAATCGCACTAAGTTTTGCTATACCTCTATAGTGTTCAATATTTGATTTACTGCCCTTTTTATATAGCGGAATGATAAAAGATTCTTTCCAAACTTCCGGGAAAAACGAATGCTGAAGTGATAAATGAAAAAGTCTAGATAGTGGTCTACAAATGCTTCAGATATATATCAGTGTCGGACCTGGGTGGAATATACGAACATGTAACATAGATATAATAATCGTGAACCTGGATACGAAACGCCACAAACTGTTAAGGGTGCATTCTGGTTAGTTAAAAAAAAAATATAATTTTTTTTTTTGCATTTTCTAGTTATAAGTATCTAGAATATCATTCTAAAATTGCAAATCGAAATACGTAATAGTTTAAAAGTTATGAGCCTCCGAGCCGGCCGACTTAAAGGAGGTACAAAGCAAACATAAAACGAGCTGGCGACCGTCCTATCTCAGTCAATTTTTAACGAATATTAATGGAATACACCTGGCCCTCGCATAACACGGACTCTTTTAGCACGAACTCGGTCTTACACGGTTTCAAATTTGCTCCCATCCCCCTTTTAACACGCTAAAAACCTCGTTCTTAAACGATTGCAAAATATCGAAAAAATCAAAAATTACTGATTTTTACAAGGAGCCACCAAAAAAGAAACCTTTAACATGGTTTCTGGCTTTAACTATAAATGCCACCGAATGCATTTCATATTATCAATTATGAATTTTTAGTTATCAACTATGAATTAAAAATATGAATTATGAATTAAAATTATGAATTATGAATTAAAATTATAAATTATGAATTCAAATTATGATATGAATAAAACATATGATCTCCTTACTTTTTAACATTTTTTAGTTTCTATAAAGTTTAACCTATTAATTAATTATAAGAAGCAACATTTTTAATTAAATACCAACTTTTAAGTTTGAAAATAATAATAATAATAATAATAATAATAACTTTTGGTTAATTTTGAACAAATGTATGAAACTTTAATAAAAACATACCAAATTTGAACAATACAAAATTTTTGTTGCTGTCAATTTTGAATTTTTAGAACGTAACCCCTTATTTTGTACTGAATCCATGTTTCGCTTAACACGATTTCGCTTAACACGAGGTTTTCTAGGAACGTAACCCCCGTGTTAAGCGAGGGCCAGGTGTAGACTAGAATTATATTGATAGCTTATACATTGGATTTTTAATCAACAAAAAAGTGAAGAACATTTTCGCGAAAACGAAAAACAAAATTTTGAATAATAATAATAATTTTGATAATTCTAGTCTATTCCATAACCACATTCATACTAAACAAGAACATCTTTGAATTTTTTGTTTCAGTCGATTTGTACGTCCTGCAGGACGGTCGCCAGAGGGGTTCCTTTTTTGGGCATGGACTTACGTCTCCCTGTGTCCTGCTTCAGGACATGCTCTAAAAATGTTTGCTTAATCATCTTTAAACTATGATAAATATGTGTGACAAGTTTGAACTTTCTATGTCCACAAAAAATTCTTGAAAATTGTCTATTTTTTGGCCCAACTAACCAGAATGGACCCTTAAGTACAATCAGTGTCAATTTTAGAAATCATTTTAGAAACACAATGCACAAGAACAGAAAGGCAAGGCAAATGTAAAACCGAAAATGTTTTATGACGATAAAGTCACAGACTTTATTTGGAATGGTCCAGTTGTTTATTGGCTTGCCAAAAATTTGGGCTTTGGTAAATAGAATTTATCTATAAAAACTTTGAATAAATGTAGAACTATGTAAAGCACGTCCAACTCAAAGCTTGACGAAAGCGAAGTGCGAATGAACTTTGCAGTTCAAAAACACTTCTCACGCACTAGTGTCCGTACGTCATACGTACTGTAGTGCTTGGCCTAACTATCAGTACGTAGTTTAGAGTTCAGAATTTACTTTTTCACCATGAAAAAACACTTCGAGAATAAACATTCAATAAAATCGACGAAGGTTGAATGCGAATCAACTTTCGAAATTAACGCAAAAACGCTGAAAGCATGTTTATACTACATAACTCGAGTTATTGCGTTAGTTATTGACAGCTTGTTTAAAATTATTGGGAACAAAAAAAAATTACGAAAATTACTAAAGCGAGTCTCTTGCCGTATCCAAGGCAAAAGTGTGCAATGCCCCATTAGAGTAGATGGATAACCTGAAACTTGTATGTATAAGAAATGCAAGCGAAGTGCTGAACGCTTTAGGCAAGAGTTGGGTCTATATTTTCAACAAATACTTATTGCATATGTATACATTTTGAATTTAAAGATTTTTGTTTTATCAGTATGTTTTATGTTTGTTTTTATCTTCCTAATGAAGCAGAGTAATCTACCAGTTCTTCTACGTGGTCCCGACAATTTCTTCACTGCCCAGTCTCAGGAATGGACGACTGGCTAAGACATTCTCCGTCCAATCCCCTTGAAGTGCCCCCAACTACAGCTCTTCTTCTCCACACATTGTGTGACACACAAGTCTGTTTTCAGGCATTTTTTATATTAGATTGAATTATTTGAATTATCAATCGTCAGTTGCTTAGTTTTTTTTTTTCGATTTGGTGGTGGAACTTGTTTGATAGTCCGAATATTGAGTAGAAATCGAACAAATCTATTGAGATCGATATTAACGCAATTTGGACGCAACTTTTTCCCAACCCTGAAAAACTTCTTTTGCTGAGTTAAAGCCTAGTACTCTGAAGAGAAAAAACCGCTGTATAAATTTAGACAGCGGCCAAACTCCACGTCTATCGGTTATAATACATCCAGCCTTACTAAATACTCGCTCTGCTTCTGTTAAGCTAGCTGAAACGCACAGATAGCGCAAAGCATGGACCTTGTCGATTAATCGATTCCTTCTTAACCGAATCGATGCATCGACCAAAAAGAAAGAATCGATTTAATCGATGTTGACATCGATTTTTTCCCAGCTCTACCATCGATGTATAACTTAACATCGGTATCAAAAAAAAAAACATCGGAAAATAGCGCTAAAAATAACATCGATGTTCGATGCATCGATGAACTTTGTAATAAATTACAAAGGGCTTATTTCTATTATCATATTTGTGAGTAAAAACTGCAAACAAGCTATCGTAGTAATTAAATATATTGTTCTTATTTTTTAGATATGAAATGACATAATTAAAACTTATATCAATATTGATGCTTTCATAGGACTTTTTTTTTTTTTTTTTTTTTTTTGGCATAACATTTAACAAAATTTTATTAACGTTAATCAACCAACCTAATGGCTATAAAACGTTGGTTATAAATATGAACAAAAATAACATGGCACTTAACAATGTATTAACACGGTTTTTCACACTAATAACACAAATTATTACGTATGTTTTCTCGCTTTATTCTCACACCTTTGCTTCGCCGAATAATACTGCCTTAGCTTTTATATTGACAGTATTTGCTCAAGTCTCCTCTGGAAATCGCTTATAACGAAATAGTCCTAAAGGAGTTATAAACGTTGTTATTTCTCGACTTTCCTCGTCTAACTCGAGTTGGTGGTATGCATCCTTGAGGTCCAGCCTTGAGAAATATCTAGCATCTTTAAGTTGAGTCATGAACGCTTCAAATGTCGGCAAAGGATAATTTTACCTCAAAATGGCTTGGTTTGCTCGCCGCATATCCAGGCATAATCGGATGTCCCCATTCTCTTTAAAAACCAGAACCATTGGCGAAATCCAGGCACTGGGTCCATTTACAGGTTCAATGATATCTCGCTTCAGTGCATCCTGGATTTTATCGCGAACCTTGTCTTCCAGCGCGACTGGTATCCTTCGCATGGGTTGTTGTACTGGCTTTATGTTATGATTTATTGCCAATTTGACTCTGTCCCCCTTCCACTTCGGAAAAACTGATACTTCCTGGATATGGTTCACCTGCAGTCCCAGCCGCTCCAAAGCGAGCTAGAGAGACGGGCTCACGCAAGCGCAAAAAGCAGGTGGAGGAGTAATTCCGCAATCTGCAGAATATCTAAAATCATGTGTAAAGAACACAACGAGAAACTCACCCACTACGTGCTGCATCTTCCGCGGAAAGACTGCAGAATGTTAGTGGGTATTCTTACAGGTCACTGCCTGTCTGCTGCACATGCAGTCAAGCTGGGTATTACCGACAACGCCAAATGCCGGAAATGTGATGAATCCAAGGCAATCGAAACCTTGGAGCATCTCATTTGCAAATGTCCGGCCCTAACGAGGGCAAGAATGAGATACCTAGGCTCTCCAGTTCTGGCATCGCTAGAAGATGCCTCCAGGAGAAAGCCAGGTGAACTCCTTGCCTTTGCGAAAAACACCTTGATATTCAAGGATCTCGAAACCCGCATAAATAGTCTCTAGGTCCATCCAGGAGTTTCCCCGGACAGCTATGGGCCATATTGGCCTATGTGTGGCCCCTCGAGGGCCGTCCGGTCTAACCTAACCTAACCTAATACCTCCGTACACTTATCCTTTACCGAATGAGGTATAATTTTTGTAGATCGGATGATTTTGTGGACACCGCAAACCAACTTTTTTTGAAGGCGACTCGGGAGATTCCCTATAACTCTACCTCTAAATATTTTTCAATACAAAATTTATCAAAAAAAAACAAAAAACTATGTATATGATGCTTATATATCGGACACCAAACTATTTCCGTTTAATTACGCAAAACTTCCTCAATTTTGCTATGATGCTTGTAAAAACTCTGGCAAAACATTTTAAAGATATTGTCCATATATAATAATAATAAAAAAAAAAGAAAAAAGTAATACAATACCCTTTTTCCTTAATTGGCTTTCAAAATTATGTGCAAATGTCTACTGTTCATATAATTTGGTGTTTGTTTGAAACTTAAATGTAATATTTATATATACATATATAGCTTATAAATAAATACGTACTTTTGAAAACAGTCGCGAATCAGCTTGTAGTTCTGTGTTATCTTATTCACAAGCGCACCTAGGCATGATACACAACTGGTTACTTCTGCCTGGTTTCTTGAAACGACCAGTAGCATTAAGTGCTCTTCCAATGCTGCCAAAAATGATTCGCTTGCATTGTTAACGAGAGGTACAACTTTTTCCAGAATATCAGCCACTGAACATATAAATTTAGCGGCTGTTGCAGAGTGACATTTTATATTCAGATAGGGCTCAATTGTCATAGCATGTCTAACTAGCAATTGCGGTCGTACTTTAGCTAGCAAATGCAGTGTAGTTATACACCCCAACATTTGTGCATTATCAGTGTCCTCTAATTCTATCAGTCTGTCAACCAATCCATCAGCTAATTGTTGACAAGCTAATATAATGTCCTGTGGAGGTTCCGTATTTTTTTTTATAGGATCGTTAACGGTTCCATCAGACTTCAGCATATTATCCTTTGGCCTAAAAATCTATATGATAATGGAATATGATATATAAAGATATAAAATGGCTTCACTATGTAATAACGAAAAAAAGATTGAACTTACACTCATTAGAAGTCCTTCTAACCAAGTTGTTCCAGTATCATGCGCCGTGTTAACCACATCTATAATTTGATTAATTTTTCGCTGGATGCCATGCTAAATAGAAATAAATATTTCAAAAATGTTTATATAGTTGCAGGTTTATATGTAACTGGTCAAGTTTTTGTTCAGATTTTTATATATATTTAACCCTCACATGCCCGAATTAAAATGGGCGCTACAATTTTTTCTAATAGACGTACATATAAGCTAGAGTTGACCTCAAAATCAACTGACAAAAAAGAACTACAAGATACGCAATACGACATTTACAACATTATAACAAACAAATTAAATAATACCTTCATGCTGTTTTTTTTTTACCCTTGCAGGGTATGAAATTATAATAGTCAGAAGTTTGCAACGCAGTAAAGGAGACCTTTCTTGATCAGCATTAACAGCCGAGTCGATCTAGCAATGTCCGTCCGTCCGTTTGTCCGTTTCTACGCAAACTAGTCCCTCAGTTTTAAAGCAATCTGAATGAAACTTTGCATATAGTCTTCTATATACTTACACTGCTATATATTTCGGAACGGGCCGGATCAGACGACTATATCATATAGCTGCCATAGAAATGTTCGATAAATTTTTAGAAAAAAATTTATAAATTAGCTGTTTTTCAACATTTTTGCATCATTTTTGAGATATGGCCTTTTATATTATTTCAGAATTTGGGTTTAAATTTTTTGAAAATCGGACGACTATATCATATAGCTGCCATAGGAACGATCGATAAATTAACAGGAAAAAAACTATATCTTCGTTATAGTTTATAACTTCGTTGGCCTGGCAAAAATCCTCCATCTGAACCCTCCCCGAGGGTGCCGGCTGGGCAATGGGCACTATATTAGCCCGGACACGGGCTGCTTGCCCCGTCCGCGATAATACAGTGTCTAGCAAAGGCCACAGTTCAACTCCTTGTGCCCTAAAAAGCCTAAGGAAGTGAGCCGTTAGCCATGGGTGGAGGTGTCTGGCGGAAGGCATAAAACGCAAGTGGGCGGTACCCCCATAAAAGATACCACTCTGGAGGGTTTAAATGATGAAACCAAGGCTGGGATGTCAGCTTAAACGTCGGTGGAAGGCGTGACCGCTACCACCGGCGGGCACGAGGGGAGCAATCCTGGGTGTCGCCAGCGGTTACACCTCTGATGTGACGGGAGCAGGTCATGTCAGTTGCGACGCTACTGCCGAAAAAACGACGCAGGGCAAGTTAAGCCGCTCACGTGCCATAGTCGATACAGACTCGCACCTTAAGAGCGTGCAGCTCTACAAAGAGATGGAAGAAAGCCGAAACAAGGCATCAGCTCCCAGCGCAGGAACGGGCCAAGGCGGTCAAGCGAGGGGATGAAGGGTAAGGCACAGTACAAGGCTGCCCTCCGCATCCAGAATCGGCTCCAGTAAAAAGCCGCCCTATCCCCAGAGGAGAAGGTAAAGCTAACCTGGGCTGAGGAGAAGATCGCTGAGGGGAGGCTTCACTTCGCCAAACTCCCCCACATGAGATCGACGGGCGAATTCGCCAACAAGGTGGAGGAGACGTTGGCCAGCGAAAGGCAACGCTTAGCCGAAAGCGTCAGTATGGACGCACCGTGGAGCAAGTGGCAACCCGGGCCTAAGGAGGCAGGCCCTCCCCAAATGGCGAAAAAGCCATCGTGGCCCTCATTGACAGAAGCGATGAAGCCGGCAAGATGACTGAGGCGCGGTGGAAGATGGTGCATGCGCGGCTCGTTGAGTCATTGTATGCACAGATGGAGGAAGATCCCGAAGCTCCCATGCCCACCATCGATGGTGCTGGGTGGCTAAATGGGGTCAAAATCCTAAAGTGCATGGATGACCGGACGAGAAATTGAAGACGCTGTGGGAGGGAGCCAAGCTAGAGGTGGTGGACCGGCAGCTAATCCCATCCATTCCAAAGGCGAAGGTACTCTTCCCTATCGCAATCCAATAAGGTAAGGTGAGGGATGCTCACACCCTGAAGGCAGGCGTGGTGGAGAAGGACCTAGGTCTGGAAACCATCGTGGGTAACCTTATGTTTTATTACAGCTCTGATGACCTGACCGTGGTGATGCGAGGGACCGGAAAAAAGCGCCCTTTGGTTGCTTCCTGCTACATGGCACACGACAGGACGGCCCCACCAGAAGAACTCAGTCTGGTAGAAGCAAGCCCGAAGGACCAACAACTGCTCGTGGGTGCAGACGCACACCACTGCGTTTGGGGAGCCCCGACAAAAACGACAGAGGTGAGTCACTCTAAGACTTTATACTTAGGGGAGGAACACACCTTTGTAGGTCCCACCTCCTCAAACGTGCTAGATCTTACTCTTGTAAGGGGACAAGGTACTTTGGTATCAGAATGGAGAGTCCTTGAGAGACCATCCTTCTCAGATCATAAGTACATACGGTTCCAATACGCATTCGAACACTTTCCTCTGCCTCCAACCTCTAGCAATGATAGGCAGATAGCGAGTGTGCTTCTGCACACTTCTGACGAAACAGTCACTGTAGTTGCTATATTGTATCTACCTCCAGCACAAAATTGGACGCAATCTAGCTTTGTATCCATGTTTGCCACGTTGGGTAACAAATTCATTGCTGGTGGCGATTTTAATGCCAAGCATGCATGGTGAGGCAACTCAAGATCCTGTACTAGGGTAAACGCTTGCAAGAAGTCATCGCAAATGGGCATTACCAGGTTCTGGCTACGGGCGAACCTACGTTCTACTCCTTCAATTTCCTATTAATTTCATCAGCGCTTGACTTTTTCGTTGCCAATGGATTTGCTTTAAACAGACTTTACGTACGAACTCAGCATGAACTCTCGTCGGATCATGTACCTATCTTGGCAGAACTGTACTCCACGCTGTTGTGGATACCTCATCGCCCACGACTACTTGTCCATAATGCTATCATCAACATTTTCAAATCCCATCTTGAACAGCTAAGCGATGTTAATTTAGAAATTCTGGAGGAGGTGGATATTGATAATGCCATCTGTCTTTTTATGACGAAATTATCTGAGAGTTCTCAGCTTGCTGCCCCCAGAAATCAACATGCTGTAGTGGGCCCTAGACCTCCCCAACTCCCTCCCAGAATTTTAGCGCTGCTTAGACATAAACGAAGAGTTTGTAGTGAATATGCTAGAAAAGGAGATCCTCGTATACAACAGATCCACAGAAGACCTGATAATCGCTTGCATAAGGTTCTTACTCGTAGAAAACAGACTTAAATAGAGAAGTTTGTGGAAGACTTGGGTATTGACGAGTGTGCAAATTACTCTCTTTGCCATGTCACGAAACGGTACAAAACTCAGCCCACCCCAAAGTCAGCAATCAGAAATCAGACTAGGTGCTGGTGTCGCACTAGCTTAGAAAAAGCTGAAATGTTTGCTGATAACGTTGAGCAACGTTTTAAGCCCTTTGATTATGCCCCTGATAGTTTGAGTATTTGGAGTCGCCATTTCAAATGTGCTTTCCTGCTAGCGCTGTCACTTTGGAAGAACTGAAAGTTCTGGTAGCCAAGTTGTCTCCCAAAAAAACACCAGGTGAGGATCTTCTTGACAATAGAACCATTCGTTTATTACCTGATGAAGCCTTGCAATTTCTTGTGTCTGTTTTAGAAGTTGGATACTTTCCGAAAGTTTGGAAATCGGCCAGCATAATCATGGTCCTCAAGCCTGGAAAACCGCCGTCTCCCATCTCTGGGTAAAATTATGGAGAGGCTGGTTCTAAACAGGCTGCTCTCTTGCGAGGAAGTTTCGAGTGCGATCCCAAAATTTCAATTTGGTTTCCGCCTGCAGCACGGTACTCCTGAGCAACTTCATAGAGTGGTTAACTTTGCCTTAGAAGCCTTGGAGAAGAAGGAGTATGCTGTAGCTCCGGCACCCTGGGCTGCTGTACAAAGCCAAGCGACTCTTCCCGCCTTAACTGTACCTAGTTGTAAAAAGTTTTCTGCATGAACGCACGTTCCACGTATCGGCTGATGGGTATAAATCCAGCGTCAAGACAATTGAAGCTGAAGTTCCGCAAGGAAGTGTTTTAGGACCTACTCTCTATTCGGTCTTTGCTTCGGACATGCCTAGTCACTGAAGTTCGGAAGAAGATGTACTAATAGCTACATACGCTGACGACACTGCCGTGCTTGCGAAAAGTAAAAGTATCTTGGCTGCTTCCTTTGGATTGCAGGAATATCTGGATGCCTTTCAGGAATGGGCTGTGAATTGGAATGTGCGCATCAATGCTGACAAATGCGCGAATGTGACTTTTACCAACCGAGCAGCTAGGTGTCCTGGGGTCAGTCTTAATGGTAGAGTCATTGGCCACCATAGAGCCTATAAATACCTTGGCGTTACCCTAGACCGAAAACTTAACATTCAACATGCTTTTAAGTCTAAGAATTCCCGGCTGTCTTGGCTCCTTGCTCCCCGCAACAAACTATCGCTTTACTCCAAGGTCATGATATATAAGTCAATTCCCCCTCCCTGTTTTATGGCAGTACACTAATCCTAATAAAATCTAAATTTTTTTTAAGGAAAAAAAAATGTTTGTAGATAGATGTGACAAAAAACCTGACGAATAGGAAGATCCTTAAAATGTTAAACTTGTTTTAGTTGATAACCTACTTGCATTATAGGGTGAATATTTACCAAAGCAATGCATGTTTGTTCCAAGTTTTTTATAGTTGCGTTGTAAATAAAAAATAAGAAAGAACGCCAGTTAGTCATAAATAAACTCTCAGGATTATCGAATCATTTCGTGAATTTTTACATCTTACGTTGCTAACGGATTTCCCGTTAATAGAAACCAACAGATGGGCAAGACTAAATCGACTTTCTTTGACTACGTGGCGAATTTCTGACTAAAATAATATCTTTTGCAAGTGTAAAGAAATGCGTAATTTGCTTAATGATAAAGTTGCTTACTATAAAATACCAAAAAGTTTGTATTACTAACTTTGTCATTTTTTATGCATGGTGTAAACCACATTTTCATAAAAACTTCTGTTACAAGTTTTTGTATGCCTTCTTCATCGTTAACACGTCGTATCATTTTAACGCAAATTTCCGGAATTTTCCCGAAGTCTGGATACTCAATGCAAATATCTCTCAAAATTTTAATAACTCTTTTTCGTACGGAGACACCGGTATCCTAGAAAAATAATATAATTATTTTTTTATATATTTACAAAATTATTTTATATTTATATCTCACCAATATTCGTGTCGAGAGCATGTCATAATATTGGTCAATTAATTCTTGATTACTTAGTACAAATTTTCCAACCAAATCTACAGCTGCTTCTCTAACAGAAATAGCTGTATCTAAAAATTTTTGGTTTACACCCATTTGCATATCTTTTCGTTTCAAGACAAATGGATCAACTTCCACAATGTTTGCAAGACATTTCATTGCACGGGTCCTTACTGCTATGGACGGTTCACTGTGATAAATAGGGAATGTATAATTATAATGATTGTAATGCAGACAATAACATATATAATTGTATACTTACTTAACGACTAATATAATTTTTTTTAAGCATCCATCAAACGATTGACTGAAAGGCCTTTTAGTAGCTAAATATTGCGCAATAAGCTGTGCATTATTATAATCTATGTATGTTTTTATATGCTGATTAGATATTAGGTTTTGATCGCCTGATATTGAGTATGGCTTTATTTTACTGATCAAATATTGCTTTCTGGCCTCCAAAGTATTAAACATCTCGACTTTTAATTCCAAATCCATATTTGATAAATTTTCATTTTTTTGTAATCCTTCTGTATCGGTTTCGTCGCAAGATCCAGAGTCGGATGTATCCAAATATTCACCTTAAAAAATGACAGTGGAATAAAAATATTAAAATCCACAAACATAAAATATGACCAAAGTATTTTATATGAATGACATAGTTGTTTCGCAAATGTGAATGATTTCACTTGATGGTACATTTTATCTTTTTAGTATAATACCCTGTTATTTCGTTTTGACACAATCTTTTAAAATTTTCGTTTTCCCTTATTCCCAATACGAATTTTCAATTTTCAATTATAAAATAAATAAAATAATGGTTTTTATTAAATATGTACTATAAAACCCGGCCACGCCTTGCTGTGCCTAACAAATTAGTATATTAAAAAGTTCTTAGTAAATAACATGTGACACTTAAACTTATGAATGAGGTAGGTAAGGTAAGACTATCTCTTAAATCTTTAACAGTAATATTTATTATTATTATTATAATCGGTGCACAATATTTTTGGTTAACCTGTTTTTAGCTAACACAAATAGATTCGACGGTTTTCCTACACGTGAACATGCAACATATAGTTGTTGAGAAAAACATGGATTTTCCAAATGTAAACCACAAATGGACATTTGACCTTGAGACTTATTTATAGACATGGTAAAAGCTAAACAAATTGGAAACTGTAGCCTTTTGATGGGTATAGTGGCGGTATCATTGGAATACATGGCAACAGGAGTACTGTTCCTTTAAACTTCCAAGTCAAAATGTTTGCGTTAAGTATATTTTCGGTGATCTTTTTGATGACCAAACGCGTACCGTTGCACAGTTGAGGTGGATTATGGGTTATCGAAGATTATGTGGTGGCATTCCCAGTATATCTAGTGAATTTAAAAATTCAGATTTCCTGGTAACAACTGTTGTATCTCGAAGTTAATTTCGTCAACATCAAAATTTTTTGCTACCAAAATAGCCCAATGACTAAGCCAGTTATTGTTCAAGTAATTTTTCTGTATGTCCTGAAAAATACTCTGAATCAATTCATTTTTATCCTGAAGAACAGTGCAAAAATTGTCTGGCAACAGTCACCTGCATGTTCACCAAATGGTACACCCAGTCGTCACGCGATCTTCACAATTCCCCATAAAATAAATTTGAAGAAATTTCGGATCATCATCAGGCGTTGGCAATAATGACCCTATTTTATGGTACGCCTGGCCACGTTTCATGTCAAGTCACTAGGGAATGCTGTCGAACGGGATACAAAGTATCTTATGACCGTCTCCTGGCCCTGAACTACCTATTTACAGAAATTGATGCGGTTCATCTGGTGTTGACACCATTGAACCATTTAAATGATATATTTGTCCCTGTATCTGTAATTGCAAACAATCATTTGTTGAAAAATCGTGTGATGGTGTAGTGTGTGGGGTATATGTTGTTGTTATTTTTGAACTTTAACGCATCAAAAAATATTATAATTTTTAAGATTTGTGAAGATTTGCTGAAGAAAGTCTAAGTTTTTAGTACTGACTTGCCACAGACTTATTGCTAGAATGCCAAAAATAATAGCGAAAGTAGCCTAAAATATGGGTGGATATACTGGATACTAACCTAAATTTAGTAAAAATAACAAATAAGTGAAAAATATTCATTACGTTCCGAGTACTACACTTAGAAGAATGTCTGTACTTATATTTTGGCCAACCCATTTTTATGCATTTCGAAGAAAATTGATCCCTGTCTTTAAATTTGAAATGTAAAACCCTTTTAACAGGTATTTTTATTTTGTGGAATAAGTACGATAAAAAAAAAAAAAAAAATGGGTTTTTTCATTAAGTTTATTAAACTAATTTTATAGGACTTGAAACAAACTTCATACGCATGTACTTATTATTTCGGCCACAAGTATACAATCGTTTTCCAAAGGCAAAAACCCCTCTAGCTTTACACGCAATTATACCGATGTGATCGGTGAATCTCAAATTGTGGGTAAATATAACTCCAAGATCCGTTACAGAATGGATACGTTCAAGAACATTCGTCCCTATGGAATAGTTGGCATGGAAACAATTTCTGTGCTGACGTACTGTGATGAGGACATTATTGAGGTACATTGGTGCTGAAGCTGAATAGTAATTAGAACTTCGAATAATTTGGGAATCGCACTAAGTTTTGCTATACCTCTATAGTGTTCAATATTTGATTAACTGCCCTTTTTATGAAGCGGAATGATAAGAGATTCTTTCCAAACTTCCGGGAAAAACGAATGCTGAAGTGATAACTGAAAAAGTCTAGATAGTGGTCTACAAAATGAGCTGGCACAATTTCTCAGAACGCAGCTAGGTACAAGATCTGGACCAGAGGGGAAGGAAAGTTTCATTGTTTTAAGATTATGAAGAACATCATCTTCGCTGATTACAGGTATAACAAGAAAGGAAGCTAACTTCTGCACGCCGAAGTTTGTATACCCTTGCAGATTGGTTTCGATGTTTATATTATAGATTTAAATGCTGAAAACACTCACAAAACAGAGTTTCATTACATTTTACCAGAGCTTGCAAAAAACTGTCGACCGTTTCTAGTTGTCTGCATATATCTGTCTCTCTCTCACTCTTTACGAAAAGACTCAGAGAGCACCCGTTCATGAGTTCTTGGAATCAGCTCGCGCGCGTTCAGAGCGAACTCGTTTTTTTCTATTCTGTTTTGTTTTGGTTGTCCCATGAACCGTGGTCAGTGAACAAAAGTCTTTTGCGTATGTATTGGAATACATTCACACGCATAGGCAAGCAAATCCTTAAACGTTTAGTTGCGATTTAAAAACAAAATTGTCTAAAACTTTTCTATTCTTTTTAATAGCATTTTGTTATATGGACACTTGTTCACAAAAATAAATAAATAAAAAAAAAAAAACAAACAAAGGTGAAGACCGTTCGCGCTGAGCTGTTCGGTCCCTTGGTCTTTTGCTGGCTCTCTGTGTGCGAACGTTTCTCGTCCCGCTCTTTACGCACGGCTCATTGAAAGGCCGAAGCAAAAAGAGCTCAACGAAAAGCGTTCAACAAAAAACCGAAATGAAGACAGCAAAACTCCCTTGCTCTGAACGAGAGCGAGAGAGTATGATCTTTTTCGGTTTTACTCGCAACGAGAGCACAGGAAAAACCCCGTCAACAGTTATTTGCAAGCTCTGCATTTTACCTATACTTATTATGTTTACAGTTTGACAGTTACAGTTTTACATTCCCAGCTTTACATATTTTATACATTTACCGATCGCTTCTATGGCAGCTATATGATATAGTTGTCCGATTTTTATAAAATTTATACCAAAATTCTAGAATAATAAAAAAAGTAGATAAACATACGTTGAAAAACAACGAAACTATAATTTTTTTCCTATTTATTTCTCGATCGTTCCTATGGCAGCTATATGATATAGTCGTCCGATTTTTATAAAATATTTACCAAAATTCAGAAATAATATATCCGGCCCGTTCCGACATATATAGCAGTGAGAGCATATAGAAGACTATATGCAAAGTTTCATTCAGATAGCTTTAAAACTGAGGGACTAGTTTGCGTAGAAACAGACAGACGGACAAGGCTAGATCGACTCGGCTGTTGATGCTGATCAAGAATATATATACTTTATAAGGTCGGTAATGTCTCCTTCACTGCGTTGCAAACTTCTGACAGAAATTATAATACCCTGCAATGGTATAATAATTAAAAATTAAAATTTTCTTTTTTCAGTTTTTAAATTATTTTTCTTTGAGCAAATACATAAAAATAAAGATAAAAACATAAAAATAAAAAATATTTTTTTTAAATTGTTTTTATGGACAAAAAAATATTTTTTCACTTTGATACCCTTTAAAAAGGCTTGGTATATTATGCAGTATGTTATGTCCAATGCCGTTTAAATTATTCGATAACCTTATTTGGTTCAAAAGAGATGAGAGTAATTCCACAACCTGCAGAATATAAAAAAATCATGTGCAAAGAGCGCAACGAGAAAATCAGAAACACCACGAAAGGATTGCAGAATGTTAGTGGGTATTCTAACAGGTCACTGCCTGTCTGCTGCACATGCAGTCAAGCTATTACTGTATTACCGACAACGCCAAATGCCGGAAATGTGATGAATCCGAGGCAACCGAAACCTTGGAGCAAGGATGAGGGCAAGGATGAGATACCTAGGCTCTCCGGTTCTGGCATCGCTAGAAGATGCCTCGAGGAGGACGCCAGGCGAACTCCTTGCCTTTGCGAAAAACACCTTGATCTTCAAGGATCTCGAAACCCGCATAAATAGTTTCTAGGTCCATCCAGGAATTTCCCCGTATAGCTAGAGGCCATATGGGGGCCTATGCGTGGCCCCACGAAGGCCGTCCGGATAAACCTAACCTAACCTAATATCGGCATATAGTCGTCATAGGTCCAATATATCAATCATATTCCCTTACTATATTTCGTCTTTCCTCACTTAAGTTCTGTAAATACACTTATTTGCTGGCTTGCATGCCTTGTGCGGCGGCCGATGTTCGAACGTCGTACTCTAGGCATTTTCGACTATAGACAGAGCGGTTAATTTAACCTCAAATCCACATAATTTACACAGGTAAACTTACCACCTTAAAGACAAATGCCGGTTTCTAATTTACATTTTTGGAAACGGATAACTTTTTTTTTAACTTTTTTTTTCACAATTTCCCACTTACTCGGCTCATATGAGGACAATTTCGACAGAATGGATTCTATCAACCGATTCACTCTCTCGACTTGCAGATTGCCTCTTGGAACACCCGTCATGACCCATACGTGCTCGTTCATATTTGTTGTCACAAAGTCCGCGAAAGAATAGGATGTGGACGCAGAACCTCTGTTACTTATGATTCGCTTTGGATAACCGAATATGTCTACCCATTTACCCAGCTTTTTGATTACTTCTTCATGGCCCGTTGTCTTCGTTGGGAACAGGCAGACGAACTTTGAGAACGCATCTACAGCAACTGAAAATTATTTATACTGCTTTGCTGACGCTTTCATCGGTCCAAGGTGATCGATGTCCAACGTGTGCAGAGGAACGTCTCCTTTGTCGATGCAATGCAGTAAACCTTCTTGCTTACCCAACTTTTTATTATGGATAATACAGCTTAAAATTACTCTGGCTACCTTTCCTTCAAGGTGTGGAATGTAAAACTGCTGCTGAATGTTATGCATAGTCTTACGAGCTGCTGGATGATCAATCTTGGGACTACTATCGGTTCATTGCCTTCTGCTTCTTTGAAGAGCATACCACCTTTGAGCTTGTAGGTATTAAATTAACAAGCGAATTTTTAAGAACTCTTATAATTGCTTTAATCTGTTCTGCTTGCTGTGCTTTCATCAGTCGTGTGGTGATTTCTGACACAACTTAGGTGATCGACGTGTTTGATACTGCTTCCTGCTCGGTGTTCCACTTCAATGCTGAAATCCTGTAGATAATGGACCCACTGCGCAACTTCTCTTGGTACATCTTGCTGTGTAGTAGTTTGTTTAAATGCGATAAAAACTCCAAGAAGATAGTGACGGAACTTCTTCAAAGCCAGATACGCATCTTTCACTTCTAATATGTGCTGCTTGGATTCTGCTGCCGAAGTCTTATTGCTCCGGAAGTAAATACTCTGCAACAATATGGCTCCATAATCGTCCTTTGACGCATCTGTGGGCAATACAGTTGGGGCACTTCGTGAATATATATGAAGGACTGGTTCCCTTGCGAGCAAACTTTTCAGCTGATCTATCGCCTGCAATTTTTCTGGTCCGATCTTGAATTCGACAACTTTTTTAATAGGTTCGTAAGTGGACGAGCGATTTGGACTTACTTTGGCATAAACTTTTTGAAAAATCCAGTCAGACCCAAAAAAGATTGTACTGCAGAAGTACAGAAGAACCATTCTCGACAAAATGACCCAAGAAAAATATTCAGGGTTGAAGGAAAATGCAATTTTTCCCAACTTATTTTTTAGATGGTATTTGACCACTGGTTCCAAAACCGGCAGAGTCTTCTTCGGAGACTGTGTACACAATTATCATTTATCATTAATTTATTAGGCTTTGGAAAATGTGGTATACAAATCGTATGAAAGCAGCTGGAGAGTTTCAAAACCCAAATGGAGCTCTATTAAGCTCAAAAAGCCGTACACGTGTAACGAATGCAGTATAAGCAAGACCACTGTTCTCAACTGGCACGTGAAAGAATGCATTTTCCAAATCCAATACTGTAAAGAACTTCGCTGCTTGAAGCTTTTCGAGAACCTCCTCGACCATGGGGACTGGAAAACAATCCGGAAGCACCATACTTTTCAGCTTTCTATAGTCTACGCAAACTCTGAATTATTGATCCTTTTTCTTGACAACGACGACTTCGGAGTCGAAAACTTGAACTTTTGGAGAAAATCGTAGCCCAGAAGCGCATTACAATCAATGGTAAAGTTGTCTACGAACAAAAACTTATGACCTATCTGCAGCTGATCCACGATTATGCTAGCGTTGAAAAATTCGATTGGCTTTGTGCTTTTGTTATTCAGGCCTCGTAAAACCGATTTGTTTTCCAACATGTTCACGTTTTTAAGCTCTGAAGCAAGCTTTTTCTGACTATCTAGACATCTGAGCCCTTGTCGACTAGGCACTCAACATTAACGCCATTTATAATAATGTTCTTGGGACGGCTGCTGCTTGTTACAACCCCGTGGAATATGTTCTACTCGTTTCAACGAAACCATTTTGTTTGTGACAGGCTTTTCTTTTGTGCTTCGCAGAGCCAAAATTACAATAAAAGTCCACTTTTGCTAACTTTGCTGATTTCACTGTTTTTTTCTTCGGAATCTTGCACCAACTCGAAAATGTCGTACTTCTCTTTTAGCGCTTTCAACGCTTGGCAACGATATATGGTATAGTGATTTTATATTCGTTTTTGATTTGTAACCCATTTACAACATGCCGTATTAAAGCAGATTCTTCCACGCTACCGATGTTTGCGATCTTCTTCATTTAAAGCAAATACTCATGAAATGATTCCAACTTTTTCTTTTTCGTTCGCGCAACAACACTGTTTCGGCTGCATTTGAACTCGACGCTTAATTTGTTCTTCAGTTCCTCAAAATCGCACACGCATACGGATTCTAGGAAAAGTTTGACAGCTCCGCGCATTTTTCCTCTGGCATGCACATATTTTTGTTTATCCGATAACTTGTACGCATCCGCATAGCGCTCAAAAATCTCGAAACACTTATCAAGAGAAACCAAAAAACCGTAAAAGTCATTAATAATTTATTCGAAACTATCCACAGGAATTTTCGGAAGATCGCGTTCATTTACTTCGATCTTTAATGCCAACAGTTAGATTAGCTGTTGCAACCGCACAGTTGCTCTTATTTGCCACTTTATCCTCACTGATTTTGGTTGCCGCCATTATTTTGCTTTTCTCTTCGTCTGGTACTTCAATATCCAGCAAACTACATTGGTTCTCCGCTTCTTCGCCAGTTCTAACGTGATAGTTCTTGGCTGGTGTTCGCCTTATTCGCGACATGACTTTTTTTATAAACACAAACCGTGAATCTTTCTCGGATGAATTTCATTGTCTATTTCCCGCAAACGAATTTCAAAACGACGATCGGGATTTTTCTATGTATGTATTTGTGTACTCCTTTCTGATAATTATGAAATTGACAGGAACAGCACCCAACTTTCCAACTTCGGTTGCGACATTTTTTCGCAACTTTCACAAATTGTCCGGTCAATAGAATTCGATTGATAATTTCCCGACCAGCGCTTAATAAAGCGTCCTCACTTGAATAAGGATGCTCTCAACGTGGAGGTAGGCGAGGTGAAGAGGGGCCTAGCTCTAGAAACCATGGATGCCGCCTATGAAATGACGCAGGACGAGTCCGACGAAGGAGAAGACGGTGACCTGATATAGTCGTCCGATTCGGCATGTTCTGACATATATAGCAGTGAGAGTATATAGAAGACTATATGCAAAGTTTCATTTAGATAGCTTTAAAACTGAGGGACTAGTTTGCGTAGAAACGGACAGACGGACGGATAGACGGTTAGATAGACTCGTCTGTTGATGTTGATCAAGAATATATATACTTTATATAGGGTCGGAAAAAGGTCTCCTTCGTTGCAAACTTCTGAGTCAGAAGTTCTGACTAAAATTATAATACCCTGAAAGGGTGTAAAAATACAAAATTGGTCTTCTGCTATCGATTGTTTATAAAGGCATCAAAAGAAAACTCTTAGACGGTGTTTACGAAAATTTTAAGGTTTTTTTGTTAGTGCGTTTTTCGGTGACAGGAATTTTACTATACGTATTTATAATATACATACCACTTTTCCGAGTTCCTCGCCTTTTTGACTTTTTTATAACCTGTCCTTTGCTATCATTTGATATCCTTCGCCTCTGATAAATAATATCTCGATACCATTGTGCCAAGTAAAAATGTCGAGCATAATCCCAAATTAAATTGTCTTCCTCAGCATTCACAGCTAAAAAATCGAGAAGAATTTTTTGCAGGAACTCCGTTCGTTGGTCCTCGGCATGTAACTCTGTTTGAGACTGAGAGGAAGGTTTATTTTGGTTATTGTAATAAAAATAACAAATAGTGTTACTTACAATACTTGAAGGTAAATCGCCTTCCTTTTCTTGTTCTTTTTTGATAGATTTTATCATTGAATCTATTATGTTAACCTTACATCGAGATTCAACTGTGTCCTTGCGAAGTCGTGCAGCTACTATTCCAAGGTAATCTAAAGACACCAAGCGAATACTCTGTTCTATACTTTTATCAGACACATAGCGAACTAGCATTGTTCCGAGAAGTGAAAGTAACAATTCAGAGGCGGGCCATTCGGGCTTGTTGGCAGTTGCAAGCAAATCATGAATGAAATTTTCAAAGAGTGGTCGGAAATCAGTTTCATTTGACCGGGATTTGCATTTGTTTAAAAAAGTAGTTAAAAAATTTCCACCAATACTGACAGCGACATCATACTTTTTTAAAATCAATAAATCCTTATTAGGTTTTACTACTTTTTTAGCTCCGCTTGGGAGATTGTCATCCAAACTAACAATCATTTGAGTTTTATTAATTAGCTTTCCATTATCACAAAGTGAGTCTGGTAATATGGTAGCACATTGAATTAATTGAAGCACAAGGGCAGTAACCATTTGAATATTTCCACCATTATTTGTAAGTTTGTATGGTCGGAGATTTTTTTTCGATGAAGGTAAACGATCAATTGAAGATAATATATCTCCTAAGATACTGTTTCTTATTTTGTCGTATCTTTCCTTGCGAAATATCTGAAATATAATTTATAGTGCATATAAGAACTGTTTTTCAGTAGATACAAAAACGTAAATGGCTAAACACTATTTTATTTTTTATTATGCGTACTTTATATAATAATATACATATTATAGAAAACAAATCATTTCAAAATCATTACCCTTATAAAATATTTGCTAATTTTTCAAAATTTGTATCCGTTTATCTGTCTATTCGATGGTTAGCATTACGTACTCAAATTGCCACCTTGGCCCCAACTTGGTCTTGGTCAGATCGACTCGGCTGTTGATGATAATTACTAATTTATATACTTTAAAGAGTTTACATTTATAATAACCTGCTAGGGTAACTGCGTCTCGGGGTTTAAGAGTATATGTGGCTAAACCATGAAGTAATGCAAACTCTCATTTTATTCATTTTCACATCATAACTTATGTTTAATTTCCTCTTAGAAGTGAATTTAATAACATTTGCAGGTTTCCCTTTAACATAAGCGAATTTCCCTTGTTGATTTAAGAAAATGTGGTTAAATTTCCCATAGATTCTCAAATAATTTTAGCTGTCCGCTCTCAACAAATAGTGTAGCTTTGTCTGAGATTTCCTAATAAGGGGATGATCAAATTTCGCTGAAGTCAACTCATGGATAGTAATGGAGCATTAATTTAATTCATGAAACCGAAGGAAGAAGCATTTGCGGCCGCAAATAAGCATAAGATATATATATATCAGCTGTGCAAAATGCTGGAGAACAAAGTTGCCGAGATTATAGAAAAGTTTCCTTCGCATAATACATAATTCAGTTTGTAGATAAATTTGGCTGGTATTTTAAACAAGAACCTTTTTTCATAAACTTTAATCTAATAGCCGATCTTTTAATTGTAAAGCAAACTATAAAGTAATTGTTTAAAATTAATCTTTTTAATATGTCGACTTTTTTTGGCACGATGAAAACTCAGAAATGTCGCGCGGATTTGCAATAATGTTGGAAGTTAAAATCGAACCGATCATAGCGCGCTTATCGTGACGCCTGATATTAGGGTTCACTATCGAAAGCTCGGTTGTACGCAGCTGCGTATGAGATAATACTTTTATTTTCCAAGGAAGGTCAACGACCAGAGCTACGAAGCTGTGAAGAGCGCAAAGCTGGGACATATCGCTCTAAGGTTGCAAACATAATGCGCGCTGAGAATAAGATGAAGATGAAGACGAAACTGAAGACGAAAAGCTGTGCAGAACAATTCATATGAATTCGCTCGCCCGCAAACATAGTGCGCGCTGAGACGAAGACGAAGATGAAGACGAAACGCAAGCGATCAGCTTCAAACGGTGCAGTACTGTTTTTGAAGACAAATCGCTTGCTATTTTGGATTTTTTAGAAGAAAATTTCAACTTTTGAGATTTTTTAGTGGGAGAGTCAATTTTTCATCTGGCAACACTGCAATTTAGTTGTGATTTGCCTCATTTCTTTCCAAATTAATTGGGTGAAATCTTCCGTTCACTTTTTTGTTCCGTTTTAATTCAAAAAATAAACTTTTTTCTAACAGCATGTCATCATATGATGAGAAATCCATTGCGACTAACATCACAAAATCGCAACAAATTCGTCTTGCACTATGCAACCTATTAGCTTACTCGCATCGCAAGCAATTCGTCTTCAGCATCGTCTTTATCTTCATCATCGTCTCAGCTCGCACTATGTTTGCAGCCTAAGCCAGAGACTACTCGTAGCGGCGGCAACCCCGAGTTTTGGCCCGGTCAGGCTCAGCGCGGAGTAATCAGTCCGACATTAGCGGGCGAAAAAAGGGCCGGCGCGATCTGGACGAACATCTGGCATCAATTAGGTCCACCAGAGCCATCACCTTGCTGGACAGCAGACTCACTTACGCGAGCACATTGCGTATGAGAGCTCCAAGGCTGCAACATCCGGGCTCTATTTCGAATTATGCTAATTCCGGCAATGACGTCGCCCTCCTACAGTCGCACAGTAGCGCCTTTTCTTATTTAGCGTTGCAAAAATCATAACTTTTTGAACAAATAAGGTAATCGAATAATTTAAACGGCATTGTACAGGTAATTCTTCTAATATAGATATACATATGTACTGCATAATGTACCACGCCCACAAAATCGCCTATTTAAAGAGTATTAAAGTGAAAAAAAAATTTTTTTTTCCATTTTTTTTAAATATATTTTATTTAAGTTTGTTGAGCTACTGATCTTTTTCAATAGCTGTCGAAGTGTCCAATTTCTTTTTGACCCAAAAAATACGCACTTGTTTTAAACGTTATAAATTAAATGCAATATTTATCAAGCCACGAAGTTTCTATTATTTATCGGCGCAGGCGAGCCGAATTGCCGCTGCGGATATTTATGACCCGAATTGCTACGAAAATAGTTATAGGCAAATATTTGAGCTGATCGCTTTCAAGCGTAGGCGAAGACGAACTGAGAAAAGAATTTTTGCTGCAGTTAGCGGACGGCTAAAGGGCAGCTGTGCAAATAGAGCGAGAGAGTGATAAAGTTTATGTTATGCAGAAGGCAGGAGGAGAGGTAAAGCTTTGCTACGCAGAGCAAATTTATTGTTGTTGTTGTTTGGCCGCTGGGTCATCAGGTGCGGGCTGCATAACCGGACAAAGTTTTTATCTTTATTTTTATGTTTGCTCAAAGAAAAATAATTTGGAAACTTAAAAAAAACCATTTCTTTTTAATTCAAAGTGTAACCGCAAGGCGCTACAGTTAGTATATTTTTTGGAATGTATGAAAATGTGTCGGTATTTTGGTATATTTAACCCTGAGTAGATTTGGTTTATGTCGTTGCATTTTTGCAGACGCATCTCGACGCAGCCGATGTAAGTTAATTCTGGTCCAGGAAATATCCACGTAACTTATAGACATAGTGTGGTCAATGGCTTTAATCGGCTTCAGAAATTATAGAATACTTTAGGAAGAAAAAGGTGAAAAAATGGACACCTGCCAGGTAACGATTTAACTGTTCAAGTCCAAACCAAAGTGCCGTTTTTTATTAGTGTTATGTTCTGCTTTTCGCGCGTTCGTTGCCGGCTAGGCAAAGTCTCTCTCAAGGAGGGGAACGACCACAAATATATCACGCAGCAGACACAACAACAAAAACAAAACGGAATTTCAAACTTGGACAACGGCTAACATTTTGGCAACGGATTTTTGTAACTTCTGGATTGGACTACCTGGCTCATCCGTAGTCCTTGGAGTCCCTCCCAACCATGAGTGTATCCTCCGACACATCTCCCAAATTGTTATAGTGGATCGCATCTGCTCAAATCATCACATCCCCCCCCAACACGAATGTCTACTCGAACTTCATTTCGATCACTTCACTATATTTTCATTTTTTGTCTTAAGTTCTAACATAGAAATATCCTACCCACGGTACCGAAGGACTTCATACAAGGAACATTTATAAATAAATACATAAATAAATAATTTAATAAATACGAATTAACAACCATGTGACGATTAATGTTTTAGATGAATTAACAGATATGTTGAATAAATATGACTTAAATTACTTTATATTTTTCTGTGAGCTACATTTCCTTTGTTTTTTTGCTGGCGGTTGTATGTGTTTTTTTGATAATTATATTTAGGGATAAAAACCTGTGGCCACCCAGGAAGGAGTGGCCAATTTTTCTCCTCGAAAAGTCGTCTTCTTCCTGGTGGCTGATCTTCCTGTTTTTTCCCAAATATCGTTCCTGGTCCAGGATTATTCACTCCGGAATATGCTATAATTAATTAGACTAGGATTTTTGGTTCTCACTAGGATATCTTGTCACAACTCACTGGTAGAAACTCGTTTTTCTTTTTTTTTTTTTTTTAATTGCGTAATTTTTCGGCTACTCGAACCGCCTGCTGCCACGGATCTTCGCCCTTTACTTCACCTTTGCCTTTTTCCTAAGCCTCTCTTAATCCCAAAAACCACTCAAAATTTCTCGGGTTCAAACTTTGGTTCCTTTTTGGAGTCATCCGGTTTAAGGAACCAGTTCCGTATTGGACTCAGTTACCCGACTCCCTGGAATCACGAGTCGTCGATGACCGGTTATCGGACATACCGATCATCTTCTGGCTTTTAGTAAACAATTTTTTTTTATATTTCTCCTTTTTTTAGAGTTCGCACATAACAAGCACACTACGGTTCCGACGCTTGTCTCGGAACAGGAGTGGAGGATGTGCGTCCGTGATGCGTTGTACTGCCCAACGTAGGCCATCGCCCACATCCCTGAGATTCATGCCTGATGAGTGATTTGCTAGCCGGGCACTATTGCTTAAGGTCCTTTGCGTGGAAAACTCCCAGAGGATTGCCGTCCAAGTTTTCCAAAGCGTACAACGAATTTCCCAACGCTTTAGTTACTCGGCATTTAGTGTACTTTCGGCAAAACTTGGAGTTTCGATTCTTGCTAAAGTCACTCAGTATAAAGTTCCTCTTGTAAATCTCTTGTCCCGGTGAGTATCGAATTTCTCGTGCTTTTAAATTGTAGGTCTTGGCAGCTTTCTCGTAGGCCTGATGTATTCTTTCCTTTATTTTCTCCCGATACAGCTGTTGTCGTTCAGATCTGGGCAATTGGGTTATCTCCGCTTCATTGAGAGCCTTCAGTTTGCGAGCAAGCGAGTAATCTTTCCCATGTGTGAACATATGCTGTCCAAACATGGCAAAGTATGGAGACGTTCCGGTGCTGTTATGTACAGATGACCTCAGTGACGCTTGTATATCGGCCAGGTGTTCATCCCATCGTGTGTGGTCGTCCTGAACGTTCACTCGAATTGCTGCTAACACGGATTGATTCACTCTCTCCGAAGCGTTGGATTGTGGTGCGTATCTCCCCGTTTTCAAGTGCGTAATTCCGTATTCTTGCAGCATATTCTCAAATTCCTTGGAGATAAACTGTCTACCGTTGTCCGTGTGTATTGTTTCTGGAACTCCGAATTGGGTGAATATATTTTCCTGCAGGAATCGAATCACCGCTGTTGATGTGGCTTTCGG